TTCAGCCTGGAGGCAGGCATTGCATCACAGCCTCTCCCAATTTGAAGAGACCCTTATCCAGCAGGCCGAGGTGAAGAGGAAGTCACAAAAGCAGCAAAAGCAGGGAGCTGGACAGGGGTCAGATTGGATTTGTCTTCAGTGTGGAAGAGATTGTCACTCTTGAATTGGCCTCCTCAGCCACACTAAATGCTGTTCCAAGTCCTCCATACAGAGCACGTTACCATAGTCTTTCGAGACTGAAGGATGCCTAACTAACTCTTTTTCAGCTTTACTCTAATGTTGGATAGCAGCAGTTCATGATCAGTATCACAATCTGTTCCTGGTCTTGTTTTGGGTCAGAGAACACAGCTTCTTCATATCTTGCTTGCAATTACATAGTCAATTTGATTTCTATATTGATTTCTATATTTGATTTCTATATTTGATTTCTATATTCTACATATTATATATTTGATTTCTATATTGTACATGATATCGATGTGTAGGGTCATGTGTTTGGTTGCATGAAGCATATATTTATGGTAAACAGACAGTTGGCTTCAAAGAACACTGTAAGTTATTATCCTGCTTTGCTTCTGAGCCCTAGGCCAAATTCTCCAACAACATTTGATTCTGTTTTGCTTCCTACTTTTGCATTCTAGCCTTCAACGATTATAAACTTGTTTCATTTTTTTGTGTGATTAATTTACTCCTGGATACTTATAAAAACTTTCAATTTCATATTCTTCAGCCTCTATAGTTAGAGTATAGAACTGAATGATGGCTGTGTTGACGGCGATGTTCCTAGAAGTATGATTGATATTATTCAACCAAACTTTGCATTATAGCTCCTGTACTATATCTTGCCTCCGTTTGTCATTTCCAGAGTAAAACAATTGGTAGTTTTCTAGCTGAAAATGTCTCATTTCAGTCTGTGGGTGATCATGGAACAAGGAAGGCTAATTGCCTTAGAGAGAGAACAAAGGAGTTGACAGCAGGTGTCTGAGCCAGCGGAGCCTACAGGCAACTCTGAGAGCTCTTTTATTTACTTAGAATGATTTGCATAGTATGTTGTGAGAGAGACAGATAGGATACTAGTTACCTAATCGTAATCAGGATTGGCTAAAATAACCCTTTGATCTTATGCTCTACCTCTAAGCGAAAGGGCAGAATAACCTCATCTGCTGGCAGCTGCTGCTTCCTGCCAGGAGTCTATGCAAGTCACTGGAAGAGAATGCAGCTACAACCTTGAAGCAGAAGTTTCCCACACAGTCCACTTTAGGTCACTGACACCAAGCATTGCAATGTTCATGTTTTGCTTTCCAGTTTATCTTGATTCATACGTCTCATTTTCCATTTTCCAACTGTATATCTTGAGCAGCATCACATTTTCCTTTCACCTCTGTCTCTGTGCATATCAGCCACTAAATGTCCTTTTGGCTTTAATCTAATTCATTAGCAACAATATTCATACTTGTCCTTTGCTCATCCCTAGTAGTAACTGCTTTCTCACCTGGGAGTCTCATCTTCCAGGACTATCTATTTTCCCCCCAATTTGGTCTGTTTTTAAAGTAAGAAAGGTTCAGCAGTGGTTTACTGTTGTTGCCTTCTATGCAGTATTCACACGTTAGCTTGGCTGATACTGCGATTCTCTGTGAATGCTCCTCTACCAGAGTCTCCTTCAGCTACCACTGCTGCCCAGTAGCTGTCCTCCAGAAATTTTTCCACCCCATCAGCACTGGAATCAACCAGTTTCTTTTACTGATCTTGCTGTTACTCCTGAAGAGGACAGATGCATCTTATCTGATGCCTGACCTGTGAATATTCCGCCTTGGGTGACCCTGCTAGGAATCTAGGCTCATAACAGAGTCTAGCCTCTTCACTTCTCTGACACATGCAAACCCATTCACCACATTAATGTGTGCATCCCAGAAGGGGTGCTTGAAACATGTCATTTTCAGGCCTTTTGATAATTCATCCATGCAAAAACAAAAACCTAGACATGAATAAACCTTTCAATGACATTGCTTTTCATGCCAAGTTTTGTGCAGCAAAAGCATATGATTTAAAATACTGCAATTACTGTATGACCGTCTCTGAAAGCCAGATAAAGACTGAGCTTCATCATGTGAATCATTCATCTGATAGAAAACATATTCACATGACATGTTTATACAGAAAACAAATCCACAATTCTATGTCGCTAATCTGGAAGCGAGTCCTATTAATATCAGTTGAACTTGGTTCTGGATAGTTTTATTTATACACGGGGCAAGGCTGCCAGCCACAAATCACGTGCTCCTCCTGAACGGATCCAGAAAACGGGAGCATTTTTCCAAAGATTGGAAGGGGAGGGTTGAAGAGATTTTTTAAAAACTTCGACGCTATCGGAAGTGAAGAGCATTCATAGATGCATCTGACATTTTCACTGCAGAGTGCTTGGCCGCTGCCCACCCATTTGCTCAGCTGCAACGCGGAAAGTCTCCTACCGGAGTCACCCCCTACTCTGCAAGAGATAAAGGGACGGCGGGGAGGATGAACAGGGAGGCGTTGAGGCAGCTGTCAAAGGATGAAAATAAGAGCTCTCCCGCTTTCTGGGTTGAAATTTCGAGATTCCACCCATGCTCCCGCTAGGTTTGTCATTGGAGTTTTATTGCCTCAGGCAGCAGGATGCTTTGGGACGGCCTCTTGTGCATTTAAAGGGCGGCAAACGAAGCAAATTACAGTACTCTTGGATTTATTCATTTGGAATTTTGAAACACACACACACACCGGAATTGACTTATTTTCTATGCTTCGCGGTCAACGAAAAGAAGTCTCTTCACTACTATATATTTTTAATATAAATACGGAAGTTCGTCCGCCCAGCACAGGGAAAACGGCTTATCCGCAAATTGCAACCAGGAACCGGAAGACTCATTGAAACCCACGATTGCTATGTCCTCCAACACCTCCTATCCGTCAGGGACCGCGAGCCTAAGAGGAGAATCTTTTGCCCGAATCTGTCATGGCGGCGGCGGCGGCGGCGGCTGTTTCCCTCAGTTCCGCCCTTTCGACAGCCATATGGGGGGAGTGAATACCAAGTCCGAGGGCGGGCGCTTTTAAAGCCGCTCGTAGGTGTCCTCCGAATACGGGAGGCGAGAACGCCTCTCCCTTGTCCACCAGGCTCGAACCGGAGGGTGACGCCATGAGCCACGGCGGAGGTGGTGGGGCTTTACCGGGGACGTTGCCGAGGGCACAGGCCTTCCGCTTGCCCGGCCGCCACGGCTACGCAGTCGAATTCTCGCCCTACCTGCCCGGGCGTTTGGCCTGCGCTACCTCGCAGTACTACGGAATTGCAGGTGAAGAGGCAGTAGGGGGCGCATGCGTAGTAGAGACTGCGCGGTCCAGTCCCACCCCCTCCCCATCTTTTCCCTACTTTCTTGAATTTTTCTATTCAGTAACGTTAGTTGGAGATTGACATGCTGAGCGAGCAAATAAAAGAATAATAATCAAAATAGCGTTCTTGGCTCTCTGCTCAAGTCCTGCTTGTTCACTAGGGCCTATTTCAAAGGAAGAAACTGTGCGCTTAAACTACGATGTCAGCCTTACTTAATGTGGAAGGAAGTCCCCACGATTTCCATGATAATTTACTTCAGGGCTTGTGTAAAATTGCAGTTGGTGGGAGTTGCTTCTGCGTAAACAGGGTTAAGATGGGATCTTGCTTTAAGGAAGAAGAAAAAAAAATCTGATCTGAGAAAGATTGCTTTTCTAGCTGGAAAATTTCTGATAAATCCAATACATACATCCAATTCTGAACATTCAGGTGAACTGGTATAAGAAAATATTTTGAGAAGCTTGGTGGTATTGTGTCTCTCCCCCAACCCCACCCCCATTTTAGCACTGAACAGAGTGGAACTTTTATAGCTTATGGACTTAACAAGGCTTTCACTGTAACTCTAGTGAGCTTCCAAGGCTGAGCAGGAATTTGAATTCAGGCCTGAGTCATAGTGTGTCACTACCAACTACAGCACCCTGGGTGCCCACGCCATCCTGGATATCCTTTCTGACTGGGGGGACAGCCTTCTTGCATTTCCCCCTAGAAATATCTCTGGTTTCCAGCCGTGGATTTATTGGTTCATGGTCAACTGAGTTTAATAATGAAAACCTGTTCTTCATGTGAACCTTAAATTATATTTTAGCACTGTGGTTTTTTTCCACTGTTCTTCCTCAGTTTTGCTTTAATTTTTGAAATTTTCATGATCTTTACCACCATCTGCTCTGGTTTTGTCTTGGTGGACAGAATACAGGTTCTCCACCTACTGTCTGAGTACATAATGTATTAACTTCTATATTGGTCATCTGTTTGGCTGCTTAAACCATCTATTTGCATCAAAGGTATTAGCTTCTTAGAATTTTATGAGTTGCTCACCTGTTTTATTTCTGATTTCTAGGCCAAATTTTGATCATTCTGGTAAACCCATCATATATTATAATATCAAAATTCTTGTTGCAGTTCTTATCAAATTTACAGCATGACAAAACATGAAGGTATAGTGGACCCTTGACTTACAGATGGCTCGACTTACAGACTTTTCGAGTTACAGACTTCTCTGGCCGTAAAATTTAGGTTCGACTTGCAGACTGACATTTGACTTACAGACCAGAAAAAACCCAAAATGGAACAAAAATGGAACAAAAACAGCCATTTATGGGATTAATTGGTTTTCAATGCATTGTAGGTCAATGGAGACTCGACCTACAGACTTTTCGACCTACAGCCACCGTTCCAATACGGATTAATACCGTAAGTAGAGGGTCCACTGTATTCTAAAGTTGTATAGCTTAATAAGTATTTTAAAACTGAACTTGAAATTCTTAAATACTACAAAGCCACTATACTGCCACATCTTATCCCACAAAATTTAAATCTAGAGTTTGATTATGATGGTGATTAGTGTAACCCATCTCAGTTCTCTCTGTATTAATAGGACAAAATCATGGTAACAGAATCCTATGCACATCTGCTCCATCAATCAATGGAACTTAATGGAGGAGTCTCCATTTTTAACAGCATGCATAATTCAGGTTGATTTACTATCTTACAGACTAAAAAGATTTTGGCCAGTCATTGGGAGCACTACTGTACAGAAGATCTTGGCCTTGGTCTCTAGCAGTACATTCTTATGCTTGAGGATCTTTCTAGTTCATTGATAGCCACCTTTCCAAGTCTCAGGTTTCTCATTTCTTGATTGCAGTCTCCATTTGGTTTGATGATTAAACCAAGTTGTAGAACATTTTTAACTACTTCAATGTTTTCCTTTTTAATTATGTAATTATTTTGTAGTCAAAATTTCTGTCTTCTTAGTGTTCACCTGCAGTCTGGCTTTTGCACTTCATTGTTTCTCTTTATCCTCCCTTCATTAGGAATCATTTTAAATGATTTCAGCCTTCTGCTAGTAATGTGGTATCATCTGATACAGTATTTTAAATTACAGTATTTATGTTTATTCCAGCAATTTTCACTCCTCCTTCATGTGAATCTAATCCAGTTTTCTGTGTAGTATGTTCTGCGTAGAGATAGAACAGATAGGAAATAAAATACATTTTCTTTCTCCATATTCTATCCTAACAGTAGCATCCTGTCTGGTGTACAGGTTATATATTGGAATAATCAAATATTGAGGCACACTCAACAACTTTTAGCTTGGTTGTTGTGGGTTTTTCGGGCTCTTTGGCCATGTTCTGAAGGTTGTTCTTCCTAACGTTTTGCCAGTCTTTGTGTCTGCAACCTTCAGAGGACAGGAGTCAGAACTCTGTACTCTGGTGCAGTTTGCTTGGATAGTTGAGTATTTATAGCTGTGGGATCAGCTTTTGTCCTGTTCAGGAGATTGGGTGATTATGGTGATCAGCGTGTTTTTTGTTGTGGGTGTATTGTTGTGATAAGGGGGAGAGATTATCTGTCACTGTGATTGATGGGTGTCACTAGCTGGTCTTTTGTGTGCAGTGATCACTGGTCCTTGTGGCTGGGGAGAGTTCGTTGACCTTTTGCAGGCTGTATTTTTCAGTGCTGGGAACTAGGCTTTGTTGAGTTTTAAGCTTTCTTCTTTTTTGTCGAAGCTCTGCTGGCTTCCCTGTGCAGTCTAACGTAATGATTGCTGGTGTTGTCATATACTTCAGTACAGTGGTGAAACGTTACGAAGAACAACCTTCAGAACATGGTCAAAGAGCCCGAAAAACCCACAATAACCATCAGATCCGGGTCGTGAAAGCCTTCGAGAATATAAATTTGTAGCTTCATTATCCACACAGGCAAAGACATTGCTATCATCTACAAAGTACAGACAGAACTGGTAGTGAAATTCTTTGGTATCCTCTATTAGCCAATGCATATTTGCAGTATATGTGACATCACATTATATTGCATCACATTGAGCATCACATTGCTTAGAGATGATAAGTTAATGCAGTGATCTTATGGTTTTTGCTTTCTTTCACATCTCCTTCCTTGGGGACTGGAATGTACAGTGGTCCCTCGCTTAATGATTGCCCCGCTCTATGACAAAATCGCTGTACGATTAAGTTTTTGTGATCACAAAACAATATTTTAAATGTTTTTTTTTTCATTTAACGATGATTGGTTCCCTGCTTTGGGAAGCAATTTTCACTTTACGACGATCAGAAAACAGCTGATTGTCGGGTTTCAAAATGGCCACCAGCTGCTTAAAATGGCTCCCCGCTGTGTTTTTGGATGGTTTCCTTGCTTTACAGGCAGCGAAAATGGCCGCCCCTATGGAGGATCTTCACTGGACGATGAGTTTTCAGCCCATTGGAATGCATTGAGGGGTTTTCAATGCGTTTCAATGGGCTTTTAAATTTCGCTTTACATTTTCATTCTACAGCAATTTCACTGGAACAAATTAATGTTGTTAAGCGAGGCACTATTGTATATTCAACGTTTATGGTCCATGGGCCATTGTCTTATTTTCATCTTAGTTGCCATGCTCTTATTAGGATTTTGGTAGCTTGGAATATCTCTCTCGGTATCTCACCTTTTTCTGGTGATTTATTTGTTCCCAGTACTTTGAGAGTGACTTTTGTCTCTGGACTGTAATAGGATATATGTTTTGCATGCAGGATGTCCTGTCCGTAGCATCTTCAGTTAAGGCTATTAGGCAGCAGGTGATGGAGGAGGCATCTCGTAGGCTCTGGAAAAGCACTTTTAGTCACAGTAGATTGCTGTGTTAGATGGAGAAATGGCTTAACTTTGTGCAAGGAATTTTGCTTTGTGCTGAAGCACCTGTTTCTGGATAATCCAAAGAGACTTTGTAGTTTAATCTATGTTATGTCACCTTTGTGAGTTTAGTTTTATTCTCTTTCCTTTTAGGCTGTGGAACTCTGGTAATACTGGAGCAAACTGAAGCTGGAATACATCTCTTCAGGAGGTAGTGTTCTATAGTTCTTTAAGAAAAGCAGTTTTCCAACTGTGTTTATATTTTGCAATATTCTGCTGTAGTTTTGTTCTGTCAGAATTAAATATCAAATGGAGTTACATCAGTTAAATCCTTAGAAACAAGCTCAACAGAATGGTATTCAGTATGGAAGAGAGATTGCAGATGTGCACATTGACTAAATAGGACTTGCGGAGTATCACAGATTCCAGTTTCATTACTTAAAAAGGCAGGCTGAGCTAATGATATTACTATTTGGTTATGGAACACACCCACAGCCACACCCACCCACACCACAACTACCATCACCGCCTCCCCAGCTGCCACATGGAGCTGCTGTACCAGGAGAGGAGGGCCAACTGGGCCATCACATGGCCAACAGAGGCCTCTGTAATACCAAGACCCACCTTTCTCAGGCCACTTTCTCTAGACGTATAACAGCACACTGTTGACTGAATATTGATTAACTGATTGAAATTTTTTTCCTGATGTATAACCAAAATCGTGCTGCTCAGACACAATTCAAAGGAGAAGTGTAGTTTCTTTTGTAATAGTAATTCCATTTGTCTATAGCAGCTGAAGATGAAGGCTTAGAAATAAAGATAATAAAGATATTTCATGTGCTATCATATTTAATAACTGTAGCGCACCTGCATTTTGGAATCCGTCAATTGCATTAGTGCATAGATGCCATGAAAAAAGTCCAGGTTTTTAAGAGAGGGCTGGTTAGAAGAGCATACAAGCTATATCCTGAGGCATAACTGCATAGGAAGAGCATTCTAGATTAGATCAAAGTCCTGTGTAGTTCTTTGGTCTAATCTGGAATATTCACACAATGAGTTATCATAGGAAGCCTCTAAGGATAGGATGTTTGGATTTTCTGGAGTACAAATACCCTTTTTCTTCATTCTGAGAGTTCTACCTACAGTGCAGGCGCTTTGGAAATACCTCAGTGTGATGTACTTGGAACATCTGGTCTGGAATTAACAGCCTTTCTAGGGCACTTCTTCTTGGGTCTTGGTATTCAGAAAATAAGACAGAAATGTAGTATCATTAAATTAATTTGCCTGCTTTGGTATCTTCTTGATTAACATGTCAGTTACTTTTGATTTGATTAAGTTTTGACTGGAATGACAGTCTGTTTGATGTAACGTGGAGTGAGAACAATGAACATGTGCTGGTCACTTCCAGTGGGGATGGATCTTTACAAATCTGGGACACAGAAAATCTCACAGGTCCTCTGCAGGTCTACAAAGAGCACAGTCAAGAGGTATACTAATTTTTGTTGTTCCTTTTATTTCTCTGCCTACATTCTTCAAAAAAAACCTGAATAGTTATATCTATGGTCTTAAATGAATGCAGATAATTATTCACTTTACTAATATTCTATTTCTATTATATTATGAAGCAAGATTGGCTATTAAATTTAAATTTTCCTAATTCTAGTTTGTATTAATGTCTTGCCATTAGCCTTGGTCAACTTTCTCCTGTTCATATGTGTTTTAGGGAAAGAAAAATCGTCCTGACATGAAATAGAAAATAGAATTGATGGGTTTTAATGTCTTATCGGAAAAAATAGGGAATAATTTGAGAATTAAGTTACGTACACCAAATGTTGCATTGATTTGTCCAGTGACATAGCTCTGTTGTCTTTAGGAGGCTTGCAGTGTCTGTTTAATCTGAAATTTTATGTACTCTTAATTGGAAGTACATCCCGTTGAACTGCATGGAACTTCTAAGTACACATGCCTATAGTTAAGCATCTATATAGCAGTCTACTTAAATAATGCAGTGTTGTCTTGTTCATATCTCAAGTCATTTTACCGTTCAAAATGTTGAAGTAATAAAAATTTCTCATACTCTGAAGAATCTATAAAACTGTACTCAAAAGCTTATTGTTCCTAGGATGCAAAAGTCATTAGGTCGTGGTGCTCCTCTGTCATATGAACCGTAGCCTTATAAAATAAGTTCTTACTTATTGTGTCTCATAAAGATGGCTAACTTCTCTTTTTTGCTGACTTTTCAACTGTACAGCTTTCACAGAAGCACACTAACTCATAATGTTCTGATAGTCTCTTACTGTCAGAAAAATCTCAAGAATTATAGCTAATCTTGCTGTGGCTGCTATCTGCTGAGGATAGTATTGATCAAATAATTTATTTACCCAGTAGAAAAGAATTACCAACTGCTAGCTGTCAGAGGCTGGAAGATATGTGTTGCTTTGGAAAGATTTACTAAATTGTTCCAATGCTGTGGATTTGTCTTCTCTCTTTAGAACACAGGTGAGCAACATAGCCCTCCAGATGTTGTTATACTGCAGTTTCCATCAACAATTTACAGCAAAGCCAGCAGTAAGGGCTAATCGGATAGCAGTCTAGTAACATCTGGAGGACCACCATTTGCTCTGCTTTAGAAGTATTTGAGTTTGGTGACTTCTGGAAGTAACTCAGACTAAAATACAAAAAAACAATGGATCAAATTAAGTGTCTTTGGTAGCCATTTTTTAGCTTCTGCACAGATGCCTTACTGATGATCGTGATACAGTATATCCTGTCAGTGCTACACAAACCTCAGCCTTCTTGGCTCAGCTATCTGCCACCACTGGGATTGTTGTAGAAAAGGAAAATAGTGTTGCTTGGATTTTGTTTCTTTGTTTCTTTGTTTGCATCCACCTTCCTCATCAAGAGAACCTAAGGGCTTTGCTGCTGAAACAGAGTTTCAGCTCTTTCAGAAGATTGTATGGTGCTTTATGTTGTTAGAGTAGCAGTACTGAACTACTCACGATCCAGCTACTGCAGGTCAAACAACATAGCGTTGCCAGAAGCTGAAGGCATGTTAATATTCTAGCAGTGCTGTTCCCTTTCCTTTATGGCTGAGCAGTCAGACTTGCAAAAGAACCCCATAATAACCAATTACAGAACAAAGGAAGACAATTTACAATTTTAGGGAAGTAAGAAAAGTTTATAATATGACTACCAAATGGCTTTCAGCACTGAAGGGATTTTCACTTCCAATGTGGAGATTGCATAATTTAGTTTGATCCAGTGTACGTAAGTCCTTCTGAATGCTTAAAGCCAGCTTTGTAGAACAAAGGATGGAAGAGGTTTGATAGCCAGCTTTCTCAAGCATATGTAGAAAGTATAACTCTACGAAGATATTAGGCCTTAGGGGACCTTCATGGAGCAGCAATATCTCCCTCCCTTTTTCTCCCAACAATCATATGTTGTAAATAGCATTTTTGCTGTGATTCACCAGCTCTGGAGATGATACTTTGTGTCACCTTGCCATGTGACAGCTTTCATTTTACAGTGGTGCCTCACATAGCAACGTTAATCCATGCAGCAAAAATCACTGCAAAGCGATTTCGTCGCTATGCGATTTTAAAAAGCCCATAGAAATGCATTGAAACTCCTTCAATACGTTCCTATGGGCTTAAAACTCACCTTAAAGCGAAAATCCTCCATACAGCGGCCATTTTTGCTGCCCAGTAAGTGAGGAATCCATCCCTAAAGACAGTGGACGACCATTTTTTTTACCCGGCAGCCATTTTGGAAGCGCCGATCAGCTGTTGGAAAATCATTGCTATGCGATAATCGGTAAGTGAAACAGTGAACCAACCGATCATCGCAAAGCGATTTTTCTCCATAGGGAGCATCGCTTTGCGATTGCAAAAACTTAATCGCTATGTGGTTTTGTCAAACGGGGCGCCCGTTAAGCGAGGCACCACTGTATATTTTTCACTGTTGCACTGTACAGTATGGAATGAAATGAAGGTAGTAACAATAAGATGCTCCTTGTAAAGATTGTTCTGTATAGGATGAGGCAAAAAGGTCATCTTGGAGAAACGTCATGCATTTTGTGCCATTTTGACTGGTGTGTCCTGTAAGAAACAGAACAAAGTCTTGTGCATCGTACACATAAAAAGATTCCAGACTGTAATGTAGTTTGAGTAAACATTGGTATGGGATAGGAGGGGCTCGTTAGCCATGGAAGGCAGCCCATCTAGGAGAAGGAAAACTCCGATTTCAAACTTCCACTGCCTTGTAGCTATATCCACTGATGGAAAAGGCTTCAGGAGTATACCCCAAGGCAAAATCTGGAGGCTGTTCGTGTCGTTCTGGCAACTCCTGTGACGTTGCTGGAACCAGTTGTATTGGCCCTTTCCTTACCATTGGACTATTTCAGCGATGTGGGGGGGGGGTTTGCCTATCCTGCATAGGCTTTGTGCTCTGGAGAGGACGCTCATACAGAGCGCGTTACCATGGTCTTTTGAGACTGAAGGATGCCTAAGAAGAAACATTGGCAGGTTGTACTTTTGAAAATAGTTTTAATGCTTAATCCACATAATCTACAAGTATAAGTATCAACACCAGATTTAGAAGCAGTCACTTGCCCACAACAAATAAGAAGGATTGTCTCAGGGCAAATATTTTTTTCTAGGCTGTTTTAAGACTGTAAGTGGTTAATGTGTGAGAAGGCATTTACAGGCTAATAATTTCTCTATGCTGCTTCATGAGACTGATCAAAGCCATGTTCATCTGATACAGAATCAAAATGGTGTAGTAGTTAACAGTTAAACTGGGACCTTGTTACAGTTTCTGCTGAGCTGTACAGCTCACTGGATGACCTTGTGTCAGACCGAGAAATTAGATGCTTGACCCTTCCCTTCTCTCAAGTCCTAAGGAAATTCCATAGAATTTAAGGGAAAAATCAGAAGCCTGTGTTCCTCAGAGCTGGCATTTATCGCAGTAAAGCGTTAATCCCAAAATGAAACCAGTCACATATTCATCTTAATATCAAAGTATAAGTCTCTTTACTGTTGCAATAATTTTTGGGCAACTTGATGTTAAAAGTAAAATTATATTATAATAAAATACATTATTTAACTTCGAAGCATGTTATTAGATGCACACTGAGAAATATTTGCTCACCCAGCCACAACAATTTGAGGAAGTTCCGTTTTGATTTTCTTTTGTCTTTGTGTTCTGCTGCTCTGCTACATACCTGTATTGTTGATGTCCAATGTATGTATTGTAATGTGAAGCTGTCTTGTAATGAATGAAAGCCTCATTTTTATGCCTCCTTTCTCCCCATCCTGATCTCCCGAGGGAGAGCATTCCATAGCCTGGGAGCTGCCACAGAGAAGGCCCTCTCCTGTGTCCCCATCAGCTGTGCTTGTGCTGGCAATGGGACCGAGAGGAAGGCCTCGTCTGCTGATCTTAATTGCTAAGAAGGCACATATAGGGAGATACAGTCCTTCAGGTAGCCTGGACCCAAGCTGTATAGGGCTTTATAGGTAATGACCAGTACTTTGAATTGGGCTCGGAAACAGATGGTAGCCAGTGCAGTTGTTGTAACAAGTATTTTATATGCTCCCTGTAGCTGGCTCCAGCCAGTAGTCTGGCTGCAGAGTTTTGCACCATCTGAAGTTTCTGAACCGTCTTCAAAGGCAACCCCACATAGAGTGTATTACAGTAATCCAAACAGGATGTAACTAAGGCATGTGTCACTGTAGCCAGATCAAACATCTCAAGGAACGGGCGCAGCTGGCACACCAGCTTTAGCTGTGCAAGTGCACTCCTGGGCACTGCTGAAACCTGGACATCCAAGCTTTAGGGATGGATCCAGGAGTACACCCAAGCTGTGGATCTGAGTTTTCAGGGGGAGTGTAACCCCATCCAGCACAGGTAGTGTCCCTATTCCCTTATCTGCCTTCTGTCTAACCAGGGGCACCTCTGTCTTGTCTGGATTAAGTTTCAGTTTGTTTGCCCTCATCCAGCCCATTACTGATGCCAAGCATTGGTTTAGAGTCAAGACAGCTTCCCTAGAATGAGGTGGAAAGGAGAGAGAGAGAGAGCTGAGTGTCATCTGCATACTGGTGACACTGAACCCCAAAACTCTGGACAACCTCTCCCATGTAGATGACAAAGGAGAACCCTGAGGAATGCCACAGGCCAATGGCCAGGGCGTTGAGTAGGAGTCATCCAGCACCACCTTCTGAGTTCTCCCCTCCAGGAAGGACTGGAGCCACTGTAAAACAGTGCTTCTGAGTCCCATCCCAGAGAGATGGCCCAGAAGTATACCATGGTCAGTTGTATTGAAAGCTGCTGAGAGGTTCAGCAGAACCAACTCCCCCTGTCCAGTTCCCGTCGTAGGTCATCCACCAAGGTGGCCAAAGCTGTCTCTGTCCCATAGCCAGGCCTGAAACCAGATTGAAATGGGTCTAGATAATCTGCTTCCTCCAGGAATCCCTGGAGCTGAGAAACCACCACACACTCCAATACCTTGCTCAGGAATGAGATGTTTGAGACTGGCCGGTAGTTATCCAATACACTGGGATCCAGGGATGGCTTCTTCAGTAGCAATCTTATGACTGCCTCCTTTAAGCAAGCAGGGATCCTAGCCTGCTGCAAGGAGGCATTTGCCACTCCCCATACCCAATTGGCTGTTCCTCTTTTGGCTGCTTTTATGAGCCAGGAAGGGCAAGGGTCCAGCACACATGTGGTGGCATTTACCTCTCCAAGAATCCTGTGCACATAATCAGGCCGCACCAACTGAAAAATATCCATTAAAACAAGACAAGCCGGGGCCAAAGTTACATCCACTGGGTCTGTATCAATTACAGCATCCAAGTCAGAGCGGATCCGAGTGACTTTATCTGCAAAGTGTCATGCAAATTCCTCACAGTGGGTTGTGGAGTGGTCAATATTTTGTTCTTTTGTTGGGGCATGTAGTAAGCCCCTGACCACTTGAAACAACTCCGCTAGATGACTTTGTGCAGATGCAGTGGCAGCAGCAAAGAACCTTTTCTTTGCTGCAGCCACTGCCATGGAATAGGCCTTCAAATGGACTCTAGCTCGTGTTCGGTTGGATTCACTCTGAGTTTTCCGCCACTGTCGCTCTAATCTCTGTCCCACTCTTTTCATCACTGCCAGCTCCCTGATGAACAGTTTTACAATTGCCTCCCTGTTTTACAATTGGCAATTAGTAAAATAAACAAATTCATTTTCAAATGCTATTTTCCTTCATTCACCTGCCACGTGTATTTCTTTCAAAAGAGGGTTATTTAAAATGTGTCTCAAGCTGCATTTTAAAACTGCAGTCATTTTTCTCTTCTAACTTCTTCAGTATGTTTACCTTTTATGTCATTAAAAACTTGTTTACTTCTACATTAAAATTGGCATATGATGAAATTCTTTAAAGAAGTATTATCATTAGCCTTGTTCCCAAGCTCCACTATGAAGCAGCAGATTGTTTTGGAAAGCAGCAGAATATTTTGAAAACAACTATAATGAATATATACTTTTAAGTGTACTTTTGCTTTCAAAGCACTATCCCCCCATAATCATTTCAAGACCTTATAAACACATTTTTTAAAAAAAGTTTTGACACTTGGAAGACTCACACATGATCTGAGATACCTTAGATCCGCGGTTCCCAATCTTGGGTCCCCAGATGTTTGTGGACAAAAACTCACAGAAGAAGCCTTTACCAGTAGCTGTGCTGGCCAGGATTGTTGGAACTTGTTGTCCAAGAACTTTTGGGGAGCCAGGGTTGGGAACCTGTCTTAGAGAACTGTTGTGAGGGTAGAATGGAGAGAAGGAGTAGGAATCACATATACTCCCTCAAGCTCATAGGAATGGTGAGATATAGATTTATTTATTTATTTATTTATTATTTTATTTTATTTTATTTTATTTTATTTTATTTTATTTATTTCATTTCATTTCATTTCATTTCATTTCTATCCCGCCTATCTGGTCTTATTCGATATGGGAATTGGTGAACTTAGGATGAGTCATGCAACTGTTTTAAAAGTGTTAATGTGGACACTTCATACTTGTATGGCACATGTGATGCAGATGCCACCTGACCAGAAGGACTGATTCTGTGTATCCCATCACAGTTAGCATGTGGCAAATAGTAAATGCTAAGTGTTTGCTCAATAGTTCTGTTTCATCTTCTGAATCATTCTTTTGAGGTCAATGTTTTGCAAGTCTGGGTAGATTGGCAAGTCTGCTGCAGAACTGTACCGTTCAGCCTGGTTGCCTGATAAAATAGCTATATTTAGACATGGGGAGATGCTGGTTGTATCTTTCTTTACAGTTCTGTCCATGGCTTCTCACTATCCATTTTAGCTTATTTAAATGGTGATGTTTTCTGTACTAAACTAAAATTCATCCATTATGTGTAGGTGTACAGTGTTGATTGGAGCCAGACTAGAGGAGAACAGCTAATCATATCTGGGTCATGGGATCAAACTGTGAAATTGGTATGTTTGCACTTTTTGTTATTTCATTTGTATGTCAGTTTAACATTTTCCAATTAGGTACTTTTCTAAGTCTGCTTAAAGGTGAAGGACAAATAAAATAAGTGGGGGAGCTGTGTTTTTCTGTTTGGTGTAGCAAGGCATGAAAATTGACATTCCTACAGATGCTGTTTCAGAGGTCTGGAACTTATTAGCTCTTACAATAAGAGTTGATCAAGATGAAAACTAATTATTTCTATAGAAAGAATATTAGGCCTGGTATAAATATAGAGTAGAATCAGAGCTTGGAAATATGTTTTTGTGTGAACAATGACTTTCAGAATCTCCTAGCCCATATGCCCAGTGTAGTCCAGAACTGTAATATCTTGAAGCTGTAAGCATAATGAGGTAGTAGATGGTTTCCCTTTTAGCTATAGAAGGATGGCAGTGGCTCTCTTTCAGTGCTTCTCCATATAATTTTTTTAAAGTTGGTTGTGTTACTCTGTAGACTACTGAAACAATAGCAGCAAAGAATCTTGTGACATGTTAAAGTCTGTTATGATTTATTTGACATAAACTCTTGTGGATTATAACTCATTCATTACTTTATGCATATATAGGCATCCACAAATGATGTTCAAGCAACTCTTAATGACTGACCATTAAGATATTTTACCTCCCAAGAACTATTAAGGAACTGTAAGAACAACCTTAAGATCATGACCATGCTGCATCTTTTGCATTGAATTACATATCACATTTTTCCCCTCTTCATGTTTGTATAAGTGGCAGCCTATAGAGGTTGGATCCCACCCACCTGAAGGAGTAGTCTATAATATACAGAAGTTTATCCCAAATAAAATTTGTTAAAGATTTTTCATTACAGCACCACAGGGCTTTTTATTATATGCACCCAAAAGCATTTAAGAAAGCATCCCCTACTTAGAATCTGTAATGGTTTGGTCTATTTTACCACTCTTATATAATTGTCAGTGAATTTTGTGATATATGTTGTAGAGAACAAGAACAAGAAGGTGGCTTACCAGTATTTTTGAATAATTTACATTTCTTAGTATTTGTTGACTGAAATCCAGTAATAAATAGTGACTAGAATGGGCCTGTTGAATCAGTGGAGATTTGGTGAGTGAACATCTATTTAAATTTCATTGATTCAATGGACCTACTCTGGTTGTAACTTACTACTAGATTTCACCCACTGTGTTCTAACCCATTGCAAGCACTTTGCCATAAGTTCACTAATGTATAAATTCTAGTTACTAGAATCTAGTAGCTAACTGTGTTTGTTTGAGAGAGTAGGGTAGGAGCTGTGTTTCTTTCTTGGCTAGTTCTATTAAGAAGCTTAGACAAAATACAGTCAAGATTCACAGTTTTGATTACTTATGGGGTTTTGATTATGAGCGGTTGCAGACGTTAGCTACAGCCAGCTGTGCATGTAGGAGGTCGGCCTCTTAGTCACAGAGCTGCCTATGTTCTATTTCCTTCAGAGGGAATAGATTCAAGTAACATGCTGTGATATATTCCAATTAAAAAGCTCAAGTGAGAAAGAAAGACAGAACTTTAAAGCCTGCTCTCCTAAATGTTGGGAAAGGGTTTTTATAACTCAAACTGAGCAAGATGATGACTGAGTTGATCTTCTGGATGATGGTGTAGGAAAGGTCAAGCAGAATTTTTCAAGATAACAGAATGGACTTAAACTTGTTTTATAGGTGCTCATTCTTGGCATGTTTTAGAATCACACTCCTACATTGAGAAGTTATTCCAATGGAAGATGGCACCTGT